ATAACAAACAAAAAGGCTGTTTTCTGACTGCTGCCAAGGCTGCCTCTGTGTTTGGCGGCGGTTAACGCTTGCTTGAATGATGTGACGGTGGTGATGGTGGTGGTGGCTTTCAGGAGGCACTGTGTGCAAACTGAGGACAAAAGCTGCACCCGAACCCGAGCCTCTGATTCTGGTCAAAGAAGAGTGATGATGGTGAGGTAAAGAGGTTCGGGTGAGAGGCCCAAGCGGTTTTGTGCTAGAAGACACTGAACGCTGCCTGCACACACTTTTGAAACACACAGCGAGCAGAGGCGCTCTCTGCTGCTGCGGCCATCGATAGTGCGCCCGATTGTTCGATGGTCAGTCAGTCTACATTGGGCAATCATTACGCAATGCAGTTGTATTGATTGATCCAATCCAACCAAAATGAAAAATTGCATCAAGTAATTTATTATTCCCAGCGTGATTGCTACTCGCTAGTGGGCGCACTACTAGTGCCCGCTCTAGAGGGCTCCTCAGTGCCTTGCAGTGGCTGTACGTAGTCTTTGTTGGAGATGATCACCGGAATGGAGCGCAGACGGGGATTCTCTCGCTCCAGAATGCGAACCCAGGTCATCAGGGAGGACTGACTAGAGGTGCCGGTGGCGGCCACAGCCAGAATGGTGCCGTCCTCTTGAATGTGCAGCTTGCGCATCGGATCAAGGGCCTCTTCCTTCTCGGGGAAGCCGAAACTGGCGAGGGGAAGGTCGGAGACATCTGCAAGGAGGGAAACGTTGTTAACATTTGACAGAGCATTTATCCACCCATTTGACTCACTGTGCTTTTCGTGTTCTTCATTGAGCATTGCCTCGACTTTGTCCTCATTGGCGTTAGCCTTGGGGCTCATGTCGCGGGCAAATAGAACAAAGTACGACACTGAAAAGTGCTCGACCCAGACTTGAAAGGGCCCGTCGACTGACACGCGGTACCTCTGTGGATCCAGCTCCTCGATCAGTCGACATTGACTTTCACTTTGCGCAAAGCATATCCACGTATCTTCAGTTGCATTTTCCCGTTCAATTTGTGAAGTCTGCCAAACAAAATGGAAAAGATTTAGTTTACTGATGTCAAAAAGATCAATGTGGCCAACTCACCGAGTAGATGCTGACATCGGACTGCGGATCCAGCGACATTCGTTTGAGGGCGACGATGGCCAGCTCCAGCGGATCCGTCGGTAGCTTCTCCGGCAGCGGGTAGGGATTGGCGTTCTTGAACTTGGTCAGCCAGTAGGTCATGCGGGCGCACTTCTCCCAGACGCTGGAGTACTGCGAGAAGACGGCGATGATGTGCGTCTCCATCTCCTTGTCCGGCA